TCCTCTACCAATTTACTTTTGCGGCCACTACAGCTTCGGCCCCTGCGTGAATTAATTAATTAGTCTCAATGCAACATGCTTGGAAACATGTTGAACGACCTGGCGGAAGCCATACGGCGTTGGACGGAAAAAAAAAGCCGATCGTCAGCATGGTGGATGAGGTGCAGTTGCCTTTTCACTGAGTATATTGGTCGCATCAGGAAGGATGGCGGGAAAACAACTGCTGCGAGCACGGTCGTGCCTTCAATATTCGGGAATTCAATGAGAATCTCTTTGTAGACCATATCTGCGTATGACCCTGCACTGTGGCCACGGATGGAGAGTACTACTCCGATCTGCTCAGCATGCCTGATGCTTTCTGCGATGGAGAGGTTGGGGGGTTTGCAGATCCCTACCAGCGGGTGTGCCGCGAGCAGCTTAGTAAAGAGTCGTAGGCTCTGCTTATATCCTACCCAGGGTGGCTTCCGATGCGTAGGGGTGATTGGGCCAAACTCCAACACACGCTGGGCTCTGTGCATGATTTGCGCTTGTACTTGGTGACGCTGTTGTACACCATGAACCCCACACCATGCATGCAATCTTGGAAAAAGAGCTAGGTGGAACATGAGGTATTCTTGAGTTTGTGCAGTGCCCGCGATCGTTGCTCGGCATCCTAGTCGTCCTGTTTGCTTAAAGAGGGTCTATAGACATCACTGAATGACCTTAAGTTACGAGTCATTGAATTTCTGTCGGAATGGATGGTCGACCTGTTGATGCCAGCCAAATATATCCTTGACACTAAGTCGCCTTACCTTGCCTTCATATTGGTGAAAAAATACTGGTTCCGAGAATTTTACCTGGGCCTCACAAAATCACTGCATCTTTTGACCGCAATGAATCACACCAGAGAACCATTGATGGACAGATCAAGCAGCAACCGATGTACACCCCATTTGCTCCAATAAGAAAAAAAATCATCTACAAAACAGCTTGCTCCGACGGGCCCAATTTTGGGCCCGGAAAACTTTCTCAAAACTGGCTTCGCTCAAAAGGGCTTCCCCAATATTTAGACCGTACGTATCCAAAGTGTGCGCGGATCCCAACGACCACGGCCTGCTGATTACAGATAATCGAGCTCCCGACACCAAATGGGACATCGATCCATAATTTACCCAATGGAATTGCTTTAATACTACGGTGGAAGGAACATCTTTGTGCTGGACACTCTCTATCAGATACTCCTCGCTGAGGATAAGCGGTACTTCGCTGCGACGGTCATCTCGCAGTAAGCTCCAAATTCACTTCCCTCATGTTACTGTCCCGTTCGTTTCACCCTGTGCATATTCAGCGGCACCATGTTACATGATTGGGTGTTTCGGTGACTCTTGCCTTCGATCTGTCTGTCAGGTGTCGCCGTCCCTGGATTGGGCGGAGGCGCCTCCCACTGCCGTGATCTCAGTATTCAGCTCAGGTTTGAAAACATTACCGTCCCTGGATTGGACGGTGGTTACTTTCGTTTTGCATTGTTTTGAAGTTGGGTTTTCGTTCTACTTTGTATGCCGTTGTGCAATTTTTGGTTCCTAGGTATCCCTGGGAATAATTTTGGTTCTTTTATAAAACCTAAAGTAATAATATTGAGGTAGGTTCCATTATAAATAATGCAGATTTTGGAAAGCTTATAACACGGATTTTTTATTTTTGGCCCCTAGGAATCCCTGGAAATTTTGGCATCAAAATATATATTTGGCTTTTGATGTTTTTTTTCAATAGTTTTTGGTACCGTATATGAAATTATTTTTTAATTTCGTAGATATCAAGGTTATCTTGCGCGAGTTTATCTCAACCAAAAATAACCGAGATCGGGTAAAGGCAAAATTAAATTAAACAAATACAATGATATCCCTAAAAAGGATAAAAACAACAAATATAATTTTTACCCCCCTCTCCCATTTCCATATTCATTACATATATAATATTTTCTGGAAAAAAATACCTTACTTTTATTTTAATCAAAATCTCATCTACAAAAATATTAATTTACATTTTTCAGCCTTCCAAATATAAATTTTTAATACCGTAAAATAAAAATTTTCAACTAATTTTCCACCCTAAAAATAACCTAAACAATATAAAATAGAATTTAAATTATATTAAATCACCAAAAAAAATCTACAATAAAATAATTAAAAATATAAATTTATATTTTTAAAAATAAATACAATAAAATATATGTTTTTCAAAATATTTTTTAGAATAAAAAATATATATTTAAATATATTTATTTTTATATATATTTATTTAATTATAAATTAATTATTATTTTTATTTATATTTTTTTTAAATATAAAATATAAAATATAATATATATTATATTTTTACAATAATTATATATATAAATAGTACCTATATATTAATATATATATAAAATACCAACTAATATTTGGTTGCAAGTTATGGGAACCTTCTGTCAAGTATCATTAAGGGTATTAGCGTTTATTAGCGTATATTAGTGTTTATTAGCGTATATTAGCGTTTATTAGTATATATTAGGGTTTATTAGTGTATATTAGCATTTATTAGTGTATATTAATGTTTATTAGTATATATTAGTGTTTATTAGTGTTTATATTAGTATATTAATATCTAACCGTACACCAATTCATACCAAAATTGGCTCAAAACCAACCAATAATTCAAAACCAATCGAATACGTAACTTCAACCACAAATAAACCAAAAATCCGTAACTTAAAAATTGCACATAAAACTAACCTACCATCCAATTCCTTGCTATACCAAGAATAATTCCGACTAATTAAGGTTAGTTTTCATAACATAAATATAAATAAATATAAACATAGATATAAATGCGCAATGTAAATAATATAACTATATCTGATATTCAAGGCTCCCAATAAATACAATTAAATTAATACAATAAATTTTTATATTTCAAACTATTATTAGACAAAAATCTTTACCATTCATATACTAAAATTACCTATCAAAAAACAATAATTTCAAAAAACATACAATCAAAAATAAAACTAAGAATTAATAAACCCAAAATATTTTATTTCCCAAGAATTTTAATTTTTCATATACAATTAAAAAAAAACGTAAAATCGCAAAAAAACCACTTAAAACCACATTTTTTTAGGAACCTAGTAACGTCCCACTCTCTAATTTATATAATTTTTCTTAATAATTTCAAATAAATACAAAAATATTAAAAATTAATAAATATATAAAATTAATTATAATATTACTCAATTCCTTGGGTTATAATATGTTCAAGCATTTTAAAAAATTCCTTTAAAAAGGAATAATATACCTTTTTAACATATTTTTTTCAAAAAATATATATTTTTTTTTTAAATAGTAAAGCCTAAAATATTCCATTAAAATAAATTATAAATTTAATTTATTTTTAAAATATAGAAAAATATTTTTGCGCATATAATATTCTTTTCATAATATATTCTTAACGAAAAATATAATATATATTTATAAATACGTCATAAAATATATTTTTAAATTGTATATTATTTTTCTGAATATATAATATCGAGGTTGCCCCAAACCCGCTATACGTCAGACCTGTTCCGGAAAGAGGTTCCCCAAAGCTATTCTCCAAAGCGGCTCCTGAAAGCTGCCCAAAGTTGCGTTCTAAAGCTAGTCCCCAAAGCTGCTCCCCAAAGCTGCGGTTCAAAGCTGCCTTGTAAAGCTGCTCGTTCCCCGCAGCTGCTTCCCAAAGCTGTTCCACAAAGCACCGCTGCAAAGCGGTTGCCCCAAAGCTATTCTCCAAATTGGCCGCTCGACGAAAGCTGCTCCGCAAAGTTGCTACCAAAAGCTAAAGCTGCGGTTTTTCAAAGCTTCTGTTCGAAGCTGCCGCGCAAAGCTTCCTCCAAGCTGCTCCTGCTTCCCAAAGCTGCTCCCCAAAGCTGCTCCACAAAGCTCTTCCCCAAAGCCGGGCCCCAAAGTTGTTATTGAAAGCTGCTCCGAACAGCTGTGCCCCAAAGCTGCCAAAGCTCCCCCTAAAGTTGTTGCCGAAAGCTGCTTCCCAAAGTTGCTTACTAAAGCTACTCCCCAAAGCTGTCGTTCTTCAAAAACTGTTTGCAATGCTGCTGCAAAGACGCAAAGTTGCTCCCAACAGGTGTTCCCCACAGCTGCTCTCCAAAGTTGCTACCGAAGCCGCATCCCAAAGAAGCTCCCCAAAACAGCGTGCACAGGCTAAGGAAGCAAGCACAGTGTGTGCGGTAGAAGGCGGGTGCAGCAAGCGGGCAGTCTCGCAGGTGTGCCAGAAAGAGCACAGAGACAATAGCGCACAAGCTCGGCAAGCAAAGGCAATAGCAATAGCTCACAGCGGCTTGGGACGGACCTAGAAGGAATCGAAACAGGGGAGAATCGAGGGACCGTCATGGGATGCGATGCGGGACCAAGACTGGGACCGTAAAATGAAAACCCCAAAAAAACATTCCTATTTTGGAATTTCCCGTTTTCTAAATTCCAAAATAATCGGATTATTTCGGTGCCATTGGGGAGGTCCTAAAAAGGTCGAGCACAAGGTATTCGCTATGTCTTCGTGCAGACTAAAGATGTATTCGGCCAAAAGTCCAAAATAATTGCCTTTTTTTGGGGGTGATGGACCAGCCGATTTGCGCGCGCGCGAGCGTGCGCGGTGCCACCCTTACCGTAATATCAGTAATAATATAAATTTTAAGAGAAAATTTTGTATACCTTTTTCGGGGTAAGATTCAACTATTTATTTTAGAAAGCCATATCAATATTGAATAAAGCCTTGAAAATGCAAGATTTCCTAGATGTGGAAGTTTCCACTGGCAACAGCTCAAGTTGACATGCTACAGCAAGCAGTACACTGTTTTGTCGTGAAAGTTGGGACACTTGTGCCTGAAAAGTGCCTGGCAGGTCATCGGAATGTGACATGCTACAAATGATGCATGGGCAGATGTTGCACACTGACACTGCTACCAAATTTCTATTCTATGCTGTTCCCCTGGCTTGATCTCAGTGGCAGAGCAACTGTACCGTCCTTGATACAGGACCACCAGGCTTCAGCCTTCATGAATTTGGTCAGGATGTCTGCCAATTGCTCACCGGCTGGAAGGCAATGCAATGGCGGACTACAGGGCCTCTCAAGCGTCACAGGATCACCACTGGACAGGTTATACTGCTTCTCCCACTGAAGTCGCCCTTCGCGAGCCAACACCTGGCGTAGTGCTGCAAGATCGATAACCAGACGTTTGTCTGCTGAGGCCTTCGGCGTGCCTTCCCGGTGGATGTGGTCGTAAAGGCTCTTGCAGTCGGTGATGCAATGGAAGCCCACATACTTCCCACACTCCTTCTCAGGGATTAGCGCTCCAGTTTAGGAGCCCACGAAGAAATAAGCCACATTCAATGGCGTCACTGCAAGCCATAGTCTCTCCAGCAAAAGTGCTGCGGCACACTCGGCGGCAGCCCTTGCTTTGCCAGTGTAGGAGGCTGAACTTGCCCGTCTCATTCAACAGGGCACGTTCAGTGCACCGAGCTGCGACGCTACTTGGTGATCACCTATCCATCCATCCTGGGGAACAGTTGCGTCATCCAGTAACGTATTACCCCAGGCCGCGTCGTGGTAAGCCATGACCGCGATTGCGTTCTCCTCGATCTTCTGAAGGGAAAGCCCGCAGTCATAGTGATAGTGCTTTGGTATACTTGAGGTCTGCCACTGTTGGTGCATTTTGTTCAAGACAGGCTCCCAATTGATGTGCGATTCTCCTCGATCTGCTCCCGAGCCGGGGGCCAGCCAAAAGTTCTGGCCCTCACGACTCACGACCTATCACAGTCGCTGGGCCCGTCGAGCTTGCAGTAGCCTTCTTGGTCTTGCCTTGTCTGACTTCTCGATAAATGTAGGCTAGATCTCCAAGTGGCGCCGTTCTTGATCACCTGGAGGCGTCCAAACTTTGCTTGGAATCCCCGGGCAGGCGCTGGTTAAGGCCGAAGACCCATTGGCGTGGTGAAAACCCGCTGCGATTCCGTAGGGAATTCTTGGAGTCGCAAACTGCCGCCACAGCCTCATCAATCTCGGAGTCGACAATGAGAAAGTCTTCCACCACCTTGGCCCAGATGAGTTTCCATGAGTCCCCGTGGCCCGTGGCGCCCGGCCACACCATTCTCCCAATGCGCTTGGGCTGCTGCACTCCTTACCAGTAGACTACGTTTGTCCATCATGGTGAAGAAATCCCCCTTAAAGGCCGAGTCTAAGTCCACCAGTAGTTGTTTGGGAACACCCGCCCATCGGAACCAGCCGCTGCAAATGGCCCTACCAACCCTCGGCTTTGGTACTCGTCAATGGGATCACGGCCTGGTCGAAGCCAGGTCGACCACGTTCAGGGCAGCGTGATTGGAGTTCTCGGCCGTGTCGAACCATAGGATGTCAACCGGCACGATCTCGTTGAAATCGAAGGCTACCACAGGAGATGCCACCTGCCCGGATCACGTTCTCATACGTTCTCGTTGGCCCCTCCGATCTTCAAGTGTCGGACAAGCTCTCTGTTGGGAGGATGCCCAAGATTCTACAGCAGGCCTGCAATTGTTGGGTTAACCTTCCCCTTGAAGCTGATGGCTTCTCCTCCAATTGGTAGTGGAGCTTCATGCGCTTGTCGTGCATCGGCAGGCCTCGAAGAACTTGAAGATTTATAGGGAAATTGGTTCTAGGCGGCCTCCCGGTCGTAGTGACATCCTCACTCCACGCCCCAACCTTGGCATAGTTGCGCCAAGCGTCAAAAGCCTTCACCACCGCCTTGGCAAAGTCGTTGGGGTAGATAGCCGTTCTGGCCGTCTCGCTGCCTTGTATCCTTTGATGTTCATGGTCCCCATCGCACCGCCGGGTCAAGTCATCCGCAAAAGCCTGACTGTTGGTCAGCAGTGTGAGGCCCTTCTTCATCGGGATTCCCTCTTTACTCTCCAAGCCAAATGTGCACAGGTCAGCCTGGCAGAGGTACATCTCAGGATCTTGGTACCAACGGCCAAGTGATGAATGTCGCCACAAGTTTCTGGTCCGGGGGTTCTCGATCACTACCAAACCTTGGTTTGATCGCTGGAAGACGACTTCTTCTCAATCAATTCAATTCAATCAACTTCTTCTCCTTGTTCCGACGACGTCGACGCTCTTGTGGGTCGATGTTCAGACTGGAAAAAGCGCGCCAGTTGGTGCAAGGGGGTGCCATCCAGATCATCCTTGGACGGTGCTCGTAGATGTCGCGGAAGACATCTGTCAGCAACACATCGTAGATCGCCAAGTAGAAGCTCACGAGGTTGTGGAACACCGCGACGTTTGTCTGCGAAGGCACCTGATATCTTGCAATGCCCAGCGAAAATCTCCAGGCAATCCACTGAGTGCTTCCCAAAATTTTCTGAATTCCAGGATGGCTGATGGTCATGTTTGGTGGCGAAGATGGCGTGCAGGTCTGCCACACCACTTCCTGAGTCCAAGAACCCAGGGCCATGGTGAGTACCATCAGAACCTCAGACAGCTTGCAAAGCTGGTCTGTGGAGATCCGCTTGGCCTTCTGCCCCAAGCTCATACGATCCCACTTCGTCTTCTCTTGCCCAAGACGTGCCCTTTTCTTCGGATTCATCTCCTGACTGTCCGAGCCGGAGTCATACTTTCCAACCTTGAAGCCGTCGCCGTCTGCATTCTCCTCAATCATCAGGTCATAATGGGAAGCCTCGGATGGGTTAATAGTTGCCTGCTCCTCCGAGACGTGGTCATTCACAGTAATCTCGAACCCGCAATAGCCACGTTGGAGTCAGAGAAATTGCCGCCATCCAGCATGTAGACATACTTTTCAACGTCCTCGGTGATGAGAATGTAGTTGTTCAACGCATGTTCTTTTCCTTCTCCATGCGGTTGAGCTCCTCCACGCGTCGGGTACACTGTTTTGCCGCGAAAGTTGGGACACTTGTGCCTAAAAAGTGCCTGGCAGGTCATCCGAATGTGAAATACTACAAATGATGCATGGGCAGATCTTGCACACTGACACCAGATAAGTAATACCTTAGTAACATTTTATCAAAAATAGCGCCCAAATAATTTTTCAAGGGTACCCCATGAGTAACAGAGATCTTCAATAATATAGTTATTTATAGTTATTTAGATGGTATCCTATTGTTTACTTTTTTTTGGGGGAAAGATGTTTTTCAATCTACATTTTTTTGAAAAACTGATCCATTTACTTTATAAAGCAATATCCATGTTAAAGCCTTGAAAATGCAAGGTGTCATAAAAAACTAAATGCTTTTTAAAAACATGATCAAAAACAGCACCCAAACAAATTTTCACGGGGGTACCCCGCAACTTTCATATGCACTGAAGCACCCAAAGCTGTGCACGCAGGTGTCCATGGTGTCAAGTGGGCACGTTATTGCGGTGGTTTAGTTTACACATGCAAACGCGGGCCCACTACAAAAAATATGAGCGCATCGGGCACATCGCTTTTGTCTGGCCAATCAGAAGTGGCAATTCAGCTTCACCCAAGCTGAAACCTGACACCGCTGGATTTACCATTGGCGGAAACAAAGCCAATCCGCAACAAAAGCTGCTGCAGCCCGCACCTTTTTCTGTCAAAATCGACACATCTGCGGGGTTGACATGAACAAATCGAAACAAGGAACGACAGCTGAGCTGCAGCGCGCCTGTGTAGACCCGGGTGTGGCAGCACCACCGCGCAATTCGAAACCATCTTCCAGCGGCAGCACCTGCGCTGCCACCCAGGAATCATAGGGAAGCCAATGGGCCATTATGCTATCTGACAAGAAACAAATTTGCGCACTATAGCGCGCCCGAAGAGATCCTAGGTGAGCAAGCGACCGTGCTTCCCGACCATCCCTGCAGCTTGGCGGGAAAGAGAAAACATGAAAAAGCAAGACCAAACGAGCAGGGCATAAAGCAGGTGAATGACCCAAACTATTTCAAACAACCGCGTGCCGGTGCGAAACTAAAAAAATCCTTTCATGTTTTGTTATGCGGCGGGGTGGTCGGTCTTCGGGGGCGTGGTTGGCTAGCGAGCGGGGGAGGGCGTCTGTATTAGGGCTAAAGTGTCCCGTTGAGAAGAGACGAAGGCAGAGATTGAAAAAGGATGGCCGGGCACAAGTACTATGAGTTGCGCCACATATACCAAATCAAAAAAGACACGCCGAAAATATATGAGGTGAAAGCGGCGACGGGCAAGTTGGATGCCAGTGGGTTTCTGGAAGGTTGGGCCGGTTGGGCGGGAGGACTTGGACAAAGTCAAGTTTGATAGCAAAAATGAAAGAGAAAAGTTGGATGGAAAGAATATTGAATACAAGTTGATAGAGATAGGTTGGATAGGGAGCAGATGGGTGGAAAGAATGTGGACAAAGGTTTTATTTTGACGCAGATCATTGATAAGTTTGACAAGAATAGGTTTGACAGAGGTCGAAGAGGTGAGATTAATAGAGGTAAGTCTGCCAACAGGCAAGTTTGATAGAGGTATATAAGATTATAAAAGTTGACAGACAAGAGCTCGGCAGAGATAAGTTTTAAAAGCAGGTGAGTCTGATAGGGAAAGGCTTTATGTATGAAGATAAGTTTGATAGAGCTGCTAGAGGTAAAATTGATAGAGGATGAAAAATGCAAATTGACAGATGTAAGCTTGGTAGGGACAAGCTTGATGGTCAACAACTGGTGAAGCAAGTCTGATGGGGGTAGTCTCGCTAGAAGTGCGTTTGGTAGAGTGGAGTTTGTTAAGGACAAGTTGTGCTGGCCGCGCCTGCCACAGAAAGCAAAACCCCAATCTACAAAAAACAAAAGCCCAAGAAACGCAAGGGACAGACACAAAGTGCCGTGCTAGCCATCCGAACTAAGGAGGTGCCCGGCGGCGTTCCAAAGCTAACAGTTTAACAGCAAGCCAGAAACGAAAGGCAAGGCCCAGAAAACGAAGTGCAAAGAGAGAGAGAGAGAGAGAGAGACGCAAAGCGCCGTGCCGGCACGCATATTAAGGAAGCGCGCAGCAGCGTCCCAACGCCCAGCGTAACAGGAAGCCAGTCTAGAGAAGACATACCAAGTGCCGCGCCTGCCCCACACAGAAAGGGCCCATGGCGTCCCACCATACAAAACTAAAAAGGAGGCAAGTCGCAAAGTGCTGCGCCAGTTGGAAAAAATGGTGCGCGGATGCACAAAATTTCAAAACGCCTGACGGAAACAAAGTGCAGGGCCCGCTGCGCAAAGCCAAAAAAAGGTCCACCGGTGTGCCAGCACCCGTGGGTAACAACAAGCTAGTCGTAGACTCACAAGAGGCCGCGCCTGCCATGCAAAATGGATCGGGCTAACGCAATGTTGCGCCTGCCAAACAAACGTGAGGCAGAGATGCAAAACACCGCGCCTGCCACACAATGCCATGGAGGGGCCCAGCAGCTCCCCAGCGCACAAATAGGAGTTACATAAACGAGAAACCATTGAAAAACGTCCCAAGCAAATATTTGCTGAGATTCACGGATCCAAATTTTTTGGTGGTGCATCTTAACATTCAAGCTGATGGGCTTTCGGAGAGAGGAGCATCTGAGCAAACTGTATGAGTTGTGTCCTCCCTGCATCCAGGCAAAACGCGTTTACTACCCTTGCAAATAGGTACCCACCAAAAGCCAAGCAGAATGAAGCAAGCCCAACCAGCCAGAAATGCACACAAGAAACAGCAATGCCACGGGCTTTGCACAGAACACTGTCGGAGAAAGCCATGCCCGTTTCATGCTTTCATGCATAGTCATGCTTGGCCTTGGTACATGTTGGCCGGGCGCTGCAGACTTTCTTCGCCTGATGGGATTCCCGCAGAAGCAAAGCTGTTTTCTGGGCAAACAGCCGTTATCGTGTGCCTGGTCTCGATGTGCTACCATGGGGGGAAAGCGTTAAAACGACGCCTTTATGGACGTGCAGTGCAGACTGCCAGGACAACCCAACGCGCAACTGTTGGGGCGTAGTAGTCTATCATAATCATAGTTGCAATTGATCGCGTGCAATCTGCCTCATCCATGTCCTGGAATCTCTGACACATCAACTCACACACTCCTGGTTCGACGTGCTGTTCAGCAAACTCACCTGAGTGGCCGTGCGAGATTGAAACAAAGCGCTTGAATCTGCTTGGGTCTGCTTGAAGCACCAGCGTGACTGACACCTCCCGAATATGAACCAACAGCTAGATCGGGCACCCGGAGACATGTCAGAAACAATGAATCCATTGATCCCCAAGAAAATTCTAGAAGGTGGCGCCCATTAGCAAATACGGGCTCCGTGAATCAAGCAAGGGAAGTTTCCAGATTGCCCCCGCCTGAATGCATGGACCGACCATTTCCATGATTTCGCCCGATTTCAAAGGCTCACATCAAAATCACAACTTCATATGGGAACGCCTGGCTGGACCTGCCTCAACAAGTTGGGGGGGCCACAACGTGGCCGTAGCTTTGGACACAAGCTTTGAAAACCTTGTAACTTCAAACCTGCGGCCTTCCAAAAATGTCGCTCAGCCAGCATGCATTGTTGGCCTTGGGCGTCTGCTAGGCGTCGCTGCGCAGCGACAAAGTTTGGCTGAGCGCGCAATCTGTCCATCGTATCTGCGTGAACCAGCCAGACGTCCTCAATGAGGAGAACAAGCGTTCAACACCCAATCCTTTTTGAACATCCCGTCAACACCAGCCAAGCATCCGTGTGATACCCTTTGGCGCTTGAAGGTGATAGCTCCTCCAATGTGCTGGCGCTGCAGTCCTCGTGCACCTCGAGGTGGCGACGAGCAAGCAACCTTCTGCGTAATTGCTTCCCTAATAGACCACAAAGTCCTGCCGCAGGCACCCTTCAAGGTATCAAGGTTGGCTTTGAGCCCTGTCAGTGATTTTGCAATCTTTTTTCTTCTGTTATTCAATTCCGTCCAGGCACGTTGCCCGCAACAAAGTCCCAAAGCTCTTGGAACGCATCTCCATCCTTGTCGGCCAGGTCAGAACCAGAGCAGGAGATACCCATGGGAAGCAAAATGCCTAAGGTTGGCCAGGTTGGCACAAGGGCTCAACTTTATCCACGGCCTCCACGCCAGGATGAACTAGGAAGATGCTGCTGAATACTGTTCGGCTGCAGTGTCCAAAATTTGACATTGGTGGGTGGGTGCCTGCATTGGCCCTGTGGTCTGGATCTGTGGAAAACATGTCACCCTGAAGTCGGAGATGTGGCAAGCAGCTGCATTTTTAAAATGCCAAATGGCCAATGTAGAGACCCCGCAGGTGGGAAACTGGAACACGGAAAAATTACATATATATATATATAATATAATATATGAAGATATGCATAGATAATATAGCGGAACCTCTCTCGAACACGCGGCACCCACGTTTCCTCCTATCTTATTTCCCGGAAATACATGAGAATACCACGCTGTAGGTAAATTAGAGCACAACAAAAATAGTTTCTATGTTGCTTTGCTACTATATCCGGCCTACTGGGGTGTCGACTTAGCTCACATCACGCCGCTAAAGGCGCACCTTGTGGGACAAGCGCTGTGAAAAACAGTAGGCGCATCAAGCCGCTGAAGTCCCATCACGAGAGCTGTTTTTTGCAATGATTCACTGCAGGCACCAATGAATTCTGCAAAGAAAATAGCTGAAACTAAGGAAGCATTGGGCGCGCGTCCAGTCAAGATGCACTTTTTCCTTCGAAACTTCCAGCAAAAGAGAATCGAGGGCAAAACGAGGCAAAAACGAGGCAAAAACGAGGCCTCAAGGCATACCAGCCCACCAAGGCCTTTCCAGACCTGAAAACAAGGAAGAGTTACACTGGATAGCAACCTTGTCAGTGACGCGCCCTTTCTGCAAAGGATTGCCCCAAAACCAGCTGGCAAACTGGACAGCACCCTGCTGGAGACAGGATCTTAAAAGTTTAACACCGAGTGCCCAACCTACGAGAAGCAAGAACTCCTCTAGCTTGTAAACTATCGGGGGGGAAATAAGCCCGCATGAGAAAGAAGAACTATGAAACCAAGCCAACAATGGAAAAAACGAGCTGGCGCGCCGTACCACCTACTACCACCTACTACGTGCTACTGCCTACTACTAGCTACCATTACCTAATACTACCTGCGTAAAAGCGACCAGTACACGCTACTAACTAGTACTACTAACCACTACTAACTACTACTTACTACTGACTACATACTACTCACTACTTACTACGTATATACTACTTACTGCTACTTATCGTGTCCTACTTACTACTTACTACTTACTATTTACTACTACTTACTACCACTGACTGCTGCTAACAACTACTTACAACTTACTACTCACTACTTACCACTTACCTTCTTGTTTTTTTGTTGTTTTTTATTCTTATCCTTTTGAATTGGGAAAAAATGCCGGTAAAACAGCAATGATGACCCAGTAGTACCGCACAAGGCGGTGGCGGAAGTTTCAAAACATAGGGAACCTATAGGAGAGGTTGGTTGTTGCGAATCAGGGATGGCAGAGCGAAGCCACTGATGGACCGAAAGGTGATTGATCTCTCTCACTCTTTCTCTCTCCCTTTTGCTCTCTTTCTCTGACTATCAACCTACCTACCTACCGATCTATCTATGTATCTCTATCTATCTATCTACCTATCTATCTATCTCGTTATCTATCTATCTCGTTATCTAGCTATCTAACTAGCTATCTATCTCTCTATCTATCATTTGTCTCATCTATTTCATCCATCTATCTATCTACCTATCTACCTATTTATCTATGTATCTATGTATCTATGCATCTATCTATCTATCTATCTATCCATCCATCTATCTATCTATCTATCTCTCTATCGATCTATCTATCTATCCATCTATCTATCTATCTGTCTATGTATGTATGTATCTATGTATCTATGTGTCTATCTATCTATCTATCTATCTATCTAATCCCAGTTGAAATTTGGGGGGAAGGTTTACCTCCCATGATGTAGGTACCTTCTGGCTGGGTACAGCCCCCCAGCACTACAGAAAGTCTAAGCCAGTGAAAAAAAAATCCCTACAAAAACCAAATTATTTAAGATACAAAAAGCTCATGCATGCACAGACCAAATGGCTTCAAAAACCACCAGAAGAAGGATCTGCGAATCCAGAAGTGCTTTTTGTAGCTGCCCAGTGTTGCTGCCGAAGTCGTTTCTTTTTCTAGCGCTCCCTGGGCATGACGTCTGTTCCAAAGGGTCTTTTTGTAGCCTATCTTGACATCGGAGTCCCAACCAGGAAAGCACAAGAACTCTGGGCAAATCTTTGCATATTTTGCCTTTTGTAGCTATGGCCGCTGGAAGTCTCTGGAATGATCCTTCCAGACTGGTTTGAGGCGAGTTGTTCTTAGTCTAAACTAATTATTGATCATATTGGATCTACTTTCTTCGCAAAGTTTGACTTGGGCGGGTTAGTTAGGGGGACCTGGGGGCCAGCATCCTCTTCTGCCTCTCTGTTTGAACTCCATACCTTTAGGGTTTCACTTGGGGACGTGGAGACAGGCAACTTAGGAGACATGGGGAACAGGGCACAGTGTGATGGAACCTGCCTTATGGCTTGACAAAAGTGTGCACTGCAACACATTGATGCTGGGTGCTAGTACATGACCAGGATGGAAGCATGACACAGGTAAGCTGCTTCGTCAGTTGCTCGCCAAAAGAACAATCAACGCAGGAACAAGATGGTTTGTTTCGCAGGTATGAGCGAGGAGCCTGCAAAAAGAAAGACGCGCAATCTCCTCGCTACAAATTGGGAAGGGCAGCATCCAGACACTACAAAAAGTGATTTTTACGTTGCATGTCAAGGTTTTCTGGTCACGCACCACCATTCTTAACTAGCATTGTTGAGGATGCTTCGTAGTCGAAAGGGCAGCTGCCCAAAAGCAAGAACACAAAATCATGAAGCAAGCCACCAAATACAGGAAATAGTCATGAAACCAACGGCCGCTTTCTCAAGGTGAATTGGGAAGGGCCGGAATTGTTACTTCGCATTGGTAAGCCTAACTGTCATGCAACCATCCTTTTCAATGAGTCTGCTGAAGAAGAAGCAGCTCAAAACATGAATGCAAAATAGAGAAACACACGCAATTCAAAATTGAGAAACACCCTATCACGGTATGGACATAGTCATGAGACTTTCCTTTTTTGAAGGGATTGTGATATATACATATAATCACACACATATATATATAATATGTAAAAACATATATATATAAAATATATATATAATATAATACATTTACAATAATATAATATATTAATAAATAACAAAATAATATAATATAATATAATATAATAAATATAATATAATATAATATAATAAATATAATATATAATATGTAAAAATATAAAATATATAATATAATATATATAAATAAAATACAAAAAGATAAAT